TTCACCCTTTATTTATAGTATTTTTTATTAATAAATATTCAATTTAAAAAAATAAAAAATATCTTAATATTTACTTTAAAATGTTGAGATTAATATTTTTTTATCTACTGCTTTTACAAATATATAAATTTTTTATTACTTTTAAATAACTTGAAATTATTATTATTTTTTAACTTAAAAATAACCTTTTACATTGTAAATAGTGCAATTTTTATTAATATTTAATCACGGAGTGATTATCACTCCGTGCATGGAGTCCCTGTATTTGTTTTTTTTTTAATTTTTAATTTATAGTAATTTTTATTACCATTTAATTTTAATGTATCTAAATATTTACTTAAAAATGTTGAAGTTAATATTTTTTTATTTATAAGTAGATTTTAAAATTACTTGAAGTACTTTTTTACTTATAAGTAACTTTTTACATTTTAGATAGTGTAACTTATAATTAAAAAATCATTTCAAGTTATTTAAAAATAATAAAGAAATTTATAATTGTAAAAGCCACTTATATATATATATATATATATTAACTTCAACATTTGTAAGGAAATATTTAGATATATTTAATTTTTTAAAATTAGATATTAATAAAAAAATTAGTATAATTATATAAAAAAACAATATTAATAATACATGGAGTGCCGTGCGTTATTTAAAAATAATAAAGAAATTTATAATTGTAAAAGCCACTTATATATATATATATATATATTAACTTCAACATTTGTAAGGAAATATTTAGATATATTTAATTTTTTAAAATTAGATATTAATAAAAAAATTAGTATAATTATATAAAAAAACAATATTAATAATACATGGAGTGCCGTGCAATATATATATATATTTATTTATTTATTTATTTTTATTTTTATTTATTTTTTTATTTTTTTATCTAATTCTTTTTACATATAAGTTAGTATTAACTTAAAAAATTAAATGAAGTTAAATATTTAATTAAAAATTTAAGTTAATATATTTTTTTTACTTATAAGTAACTTTTACAATTATAAATTCGTTTTACTTTTAAATAACTTGAAGTGATCTTTTTAGTTATAAGTAACTTTTTACATTTTAAAAATAAAGAATAACTATTATGTAAAAAGTTATTTAAAAATATTATTACTAATAAAATTATAGGATATGGTCGATAGTTGATAGCATGAGAAAATAAAGAAAGAGTACTATGTGTCAAATTCAAAACATGTAAAATGTAGGTAAAATAAAAAATGACGTCGTTTCTGATCCATCAATTAAAAAAAAGTTGCAGTGTGATAAAATATTATTTAAAAGAATATTACTACTAATAAAATTATAGGATATAGTTGATAGTTGATAGCGTGAGAAAATGAAGAAATAATATTGTTTATCAGATTCAAAGGATCAAAGCAATTTCAAACATGTTCAATGTGAAAATCAATGTGACAAAAATAAACAGTAAGACAACGAGGGATGATATAATAAATAAACCAAACCACTTTGACCAAACCCATTTCAAACCGGTTGACTGTGAAAACGCATGTGACAAAAATGAACCGTCCAACTTTATGCGAAAAAAATCAGTAATTTCCACCTCTACCAATAGAAAAAAAAATGAAATATTTTAAATAGAATAAATTAAGATTGAAAAAATTTTAAATAGAAAAAAAATTCTTCTTTCACTGAGAAAAAAAATAATTGAAAAAATTAAGCTTAATCATAAATAAAGAGAAAAAGAAAATTTCTTTTTTTTTTTTTTTTTTTTTGTGCCCAAAGCTAGACTATTCATTTTTGTCATGTGCGTTTTCACATTCAATTGGTTTGAAATGTGCTTGATCAAAGTGGTTTGGTTGTTTTATTATATTATAAAAATATATAAAATAATCTATCATCTATCACTCTTTTAAGTCACTCATTCTTCTTCCTTCAATTCAATCGATTTCTGTCCAAAAGTCTAGCTTTCATGTACGGAAAAAAATCTCCGAATTCTTGTTTTCTTTCTGTGAGAAAAAATATCGTGCCGTCCTCATCTAAATCGTAAGGAAGAAAATTATAGAATTTGTGACGATTATATTTGGTTATGTTCTTGCAATTTCTTTTTGTTTGTATTTCCATTTTTTAAGATTTATTTAAGGTACACAGTTTTTATTTCTGTGTATAAATGAAAATATAGCTTGGCTCATCTTCCTCTACCTAGATGTGAGGTATGTTCTTATCTCTCTATATATGTGAAAATCTAACTGGAGTTTTATTTTTTCTTAGATATGGCTATAAAGCTTACGTTTTTTTTTTATGTTTGCTTTCTTGTGGATTATTTTTTATTTTCTTCGACTTTATTTAATGTAATATATGTTTTTTTTTGATTGCCGAGTGTGTAAAAGTTAGCTAGCTCTTTCTTTCTTTACCCATATCTATTTGAGAAGCTTAAATTTTTCGATTATTGTTTTTTATATTTAATGAGACTTACAAGAGTTTGCTTTGAGTATGTTTGAAGTTTTTTTGGTCCAGTTAGTAGTGTTTATAGTTCTATTGTTTGCATTTGTGAAAAAGATTGTTGATTTGTTTAGTAATTCAAAGATGCATATATCACCCATTTGTAGTTCTTTTAAGAAGAGAAAATGTGCTTAGCCTATAAAGATAAAAGAATTAAAAAGAAAAAGAAATTTATAATATGATCAAAACAAACTTAAAAAAATATTATGTAATTAAACAAATTAAAGTTACAAAAATGAAACAAAGAATATATTAATATTATTTAATTAAAATTGAAAAAAATAAAATTTATCATAAAGAGGAAAGAATTAAAAAGAATTTTAAATCCAAAAAAAAAATTATAATATGAACAAAACAAATTTAAATAAAAAAATAAGGAAAAAAATACTCTCCATGGATAGAGAGATCTCTCTGTCCACGGAGAGATTGTCTCTCCTTTCAAAAGGAAAGAACTCTCATTTTCTCTCCGTGAAAGGAGAACCATTGGATGAAAATTTTATTTTATTTATTTATTTATTTTTTTAAAAATTTTGTTTATATTCTAGATAATTTTTTCTATTTAAATTTTTTTAAATTCTTTTCTCATAGAACTTAATTTTTTTAATTACTGCTTTTCTCTCATTCAAATGACAATTTTTTTTTCCATTAAAAAAATTCTCAATATAAATTTGTTCAATGTAAAATTATTTTAATTTTTCCACTGATGGAAATTACTGATTAATTGATTTTAATTTTTTTTTGTTCGTATTATAGATAAATTTTTTTTCTATTTAAATTTTATTTTTTCTCTTTATGATTGAACTTAATTTTTTCAATTACTGATTTTCTCTCCTTCAAAGGAGAATTTTTTTTTTCTATTCAAAATTTTTTCAATATAAATTTGTTTGATTTAAAATTATTTCAATTTTTTTCTACCGGTGAAAATTACTGCTTTTCTTTGCACAAAGTTGAACAGTTCATTTTTGTCAGTACTATATTGAATCATTCAATTTCAAAATCAATATCACAAATAGCTTACCTCAAATGATTATTTTTATAACTAATTTATTCGCTTCTTCTTCAAACACTAAACTTATATCAACATTAAAAATGCTAATATGATGTTCAAAATAATCCTACCCGTGTATTGCTTGGGCTATAGACTAATAATAGTAAAAGACAGAGACATTATGTATTAATTATCGAATTATTTTCTAAAAATATTTTATTTTATTAAAATAACTTTTGGAGGAAGCTGCTATGTTAATTTCTTCGTAAAGTTCTCATATAAATAACAAAAAAAAATATTAGATACAAAACCAAATTGAAATATCATCACCATAATTAGGTCTTTGTTTGAGCTCCATTTTTTTCATAGAAATGAATTTTTGAATAATATATTGATGAAAAATATATGGTTAAGAAATAAGAAATTTTTTTGAATTTAGGTGTAATATTATTTTATTAAAGAATGTGTGGTTGAAATGATGTCAAAATACTTTTAAGAATGTATTTTTTTTTTTTCAAGAATGAGGCTCAAATATGGTTTAGATGATTAAGACTTTGTTTGTCTACCATTTTTTCACATTCTATTACATTATTTTTTATACGGTAATAATTTTCAACCACACATTATTTATTAAAATAATATTACACAAAAATAAAAAAAAAATTCTTCTGTTTTTAATCACACATTTCAATATCAATCACTATTCCATAATACATCATTTACAAATAATGGGGCACAAACAAGCACTAAAATACCAAGAGGGCATTTACGTTGACCAACTACCTCCATCCCGACCCGGGTATCCAGGTATCTGAATCAGGAAAGTTTTTTAACCCCTTGTTTGAATTTAATTAAATTATGTTCTATTTTTCTCTCATATTTTCAACCACATAATTTTTAATAAAATAATATTACAAATAAATCAAAATTTTTTTCAATCACTTAATTTTAAAAAAAAAAAGAAAAAAAAGGCTATTACAAACACTTTCATTTCAAAAAAATGGGGCCAATCCAGTACGCCTTAAATACTGTTGCGGGTGACAGAGAGTTGACATAAGAAACAAAAGGAAAATGAATTTATCTAGAGGTATATAATGGGGTGACTCTACTCATATGGATGTGGGACCCATATAAAAGAAATAATATTTTAATTGAGTGGATCCCTTGCTTATGTGATTAGGATGTATACCATTAAATACACTTCAATGTACCACCAGCAAAATCGAAGGAAAATTCTCCACTTCTATCACCACTATTACATACACTTTTATTTCCAAAAAATGGGTGGAGAAATCTAGCTTTGCTTGAGGCTGCTGCGTCAAGGGTTCGAATCCTGAAATATGGATTTGGCTCTTGGGTAAGTGCAAGTGTACAAACAGCCTTCCACCCTGTACCCTCGGAAGCATAACCTGCGATTTACCTCTCTCATGATACTCTAGGATCGGAGTGACGGGGGATCCTTAAGATTAGGGTTTAACCTTATTTCCAAAAAATGGGGCCAAACCGGGGCGCCTTAAATTCTGTTGGAGGTGAGTGAGTTGACATAAGAAACATGTGGAAAAAATTCTCCTCAACTATCACTATTGTCTTCCTAATACTATGTGCTGCTGCTAATTCTATAGTAAAAGCCTCCTTCGAAGATGAAGTAGACATTAAAAGATCAGATTTTCCAGATGGGTTTCTCTTTGGAGCGGCTACTTCTTCATATCAAGTCAATTTTCTTCTCATTTTAAGCTATTTCCCAGAATTTTCCGGAAAACTTTTGATTCAGTGCGAATGTTTTCTAATTTCAGATCGAAGGAGCCAATTTGGAAGACGGGAGGAGTCTCTGTAACTGGGACGTTTTTTGTCATATAAAAGGTAGTATAAAGTCTGATAAAACTGTGTGATTTGTTTTTCTTGAACCCCTTTCCCAGTTTTGGTTTTAGGTGATTATTTTTTGCACTTTTTAATTATATCATTATGTTAGGCAGCATAGCAAATGGAGATAGCGCTGATATAGCTGAAGATCACTATAACCGTTACATGGTAATACTGTACATTCTATCATTTCCCTTTTTTCCTTTAGAAAGTGCAAAAGGATAAAGTAGTGTTTTGCGTTGATCACAGGAAGACATTGAGATACTACATTCTCTTGGGGTGGATGCTTATCGCTTTTCAATTTCATGGAGTAGAGTTCTTCCAAGTATGCATTTTCTTTCTCCATTTGAAAGGTTTCATTGTTCTTGTTTTTTCTTGAGTTGGGTTGTAGTTTTTGATAAACATATTTGTGATTATGGAGGAGGGAAGTTTGGTGGAGTAAACCAAGCAGGAATATTGTTCTATAACAAGATTATAGATAATCTCCTAAGCAGAGGTGCGATGCCAAATGATTATCTTATTAAATGCTTTCTCCTGTTCAAGCAGATTTGTTTCATTGCAGACAATTCAAAATTTAGTGCAGGAATTGAGCCATTTGTGACAATTCACCACTTTGACTATCCTCAAGAACTTGAGAACAGATATGGGGGGTGGCTCAGCCATCTGATGCAGTATGTACAATTTTAATTTTGTTCTTTGAATTTTTTTGCAGTATCGATTTAAAGGTGTGTTTTGGCTTTGCAGGGAAGATTTTGTCCACTTCGCTGAAATATGTTTTCAGAGTTTCGGTGATCGAGTGAAGTATTGGTGTACAATCAATGAACCCAACTTATTTTCAGAATTTGCATACGAAAGAGGTACTTATCCACCAGCTCATTGTTCGCCGCCTTTCGGTAACTGTTCAACTGGCAATTCAGATGTCGAGCCTTTGATTGCTGTGCACAACATGTTATTGGGGCATGCCAAAACAGTTAAAATATATCGCGAGCGTTTTAAGGTAAGTGTTGATAATCAATGGGGTTGGGGGTTGATAAAACATTGTTGTTTTGAAAATTAGAAGATTAAACTGAGTGTTGTGCTTGAATACCAAAATTACTATTGATGCAGTCTGAACGAAGTGGTGTGATTGGTATTGTTGGAGTGTTGTGCTTAAATACCAAAATTACTATTGATGCAGTCTGAACAACGTGGTGTGGTTGGCATTGTTGTACACTCATTTATGTACAAGCCATTAACTGAGGATAAGCGGGACAAGGAAGCTGCTGATAGGGCCTTGGCTTTTAATATAGCTTGGTAAGGGTCATAATCATGATAAGTTGCATGGAAAAGATAAACTTGGTTTCGCATAACTGCTAAGGCATGTTTAATACGCAGTATTAGATAGTAATGCGAACAACATTTTTAACTTCTTTTTCTTATTTAATACTACTTACCAAACATGACAACAGCGAACGACTTGCCCCACTAGTTCTTGATCGAGTCAGGTTTTAAATAGTAAAAACCTCAATCTATGTAATTTGATGGTTTCACACAACAAAATAAAAAAACAAATTATTCCTATAATTCTACATGCTATGTTTCTAATATCAGATTTCTCACTTCTCATTTTAAAGGATTTTGGATCCAGTTGTATTTGGAGACTATCCTCCAGAAATGCGTCATTATCATGGAAGTGAATTGCCAAAGTTTGCCTCAGAGGAAAGAATTATTTTAAGAGATAGCATTGACTTTATTGGGATAAACCATTATGCTACCTTATATGCAAAGGATTGCATCTATTCCAGTTGCATTTGCAACGACTCTAGCTGTACCAAAGGTAGTGACCGTGCAATCCGGGGATTTGTGTACACAGCTGCAGAGCGAGATGGTGTTCCAATTGGCGAACCTGTATGATTGTTATGTTTATTGTTTCAGGAATTCATTTTTTCCTGTAATGGAAGTTTTATCTACTAATTAATCTAGAATCAGTATTCTTGTTTTCTTTTTTCATAAAATAAGACAATGTGTTTATTTTCTTGCAGACGGGAATGGCTCGATTTTTTGTTGTTCCACGGGGCATGGAGGAGATTGTTGAATATGCTAAGAAGAGATACCTTAACAAGCCTATGTTTGTGACAGAAAATGGTAAATATGGGCCTTTCTTGTTTAAGAAATCTCTTGCTAGTGCACAGTGAATCAAATGTGCAAAATATATTTATCCTAATCAGTTTTAGTACAGCTAAATTTTACTGCAATTTCAGGTTATTCCTCCCCCCTAAACAAAGTTGAGGATTACCATCATGATGTCAAGCGGATTAATTATCTGAAATCTTATCTTGCATTCCTAGCTCGAGCTATAAGGTTTTGTAACTCGTCATAATACAACTATTGAACATTGCTCTTAATACTTGCATGTGCTATTCAAGTTTACTTCTGACATCGGTGATTGATATCTACTTTTAATTTGCGTGCATGATTCTGCCCAAATGAGTCTTATTTTTGGTAAAATTTAGAAGTACAACAAGTTTTTAGGCAAATAAATTGAAATATGTTACATAACTTTTGAAGTAAATACCCTAAGCCCTAAGGCCTTGAACAAAAGATAGAATAATATATCATACACAGACAGTGATTTAGAAGAAAATGTAAGAATTCGAATTAAATAAGAGAAGAATGCAATGAAATCTCCTTGGCATATCTTTTACTTTTCTATTGGCAAAAGCTGCAATGCACGATGCTTGGAAACAAAATGAGTAACTTATTTAGGAGGGAAACGTAACATGTTTTTCAGTTTTCTAAGCGAAACAGTTGTTTAGGAGAGAAGTCATACCAAAGAAATGTTCCATTACAGAAGGATTTCAATGACATCATCAAATCTATTAAAGAAAACGAAGTTGTTATCTTAAAGATCTGCTTAGATTATGGTGGTATTGTTTTTTCTTCGATGAGAAAAACTGGAAATATTATTCAATCCTATCCTGTTGTCAGCTGGCTGGATGGAAAATGACCCCTCTTCTATTTAAATTGGTAGATCCAACATGTACAGCATACTGATTAAGTAGAAGGTGGGCCGGCCTGTTGGTTGTGTGAAACATAATAATTTGTACCTTTCCCCCTCATCTACTGTAAGGTCGATGGGGGTCCATTGCGGGCATCCCCGAGGTGAATTTTTTAAGGGTAATTTTGAAAATTCGCACATATATTCAAGTTATTAATTGTTCTTAGTAATATGGATTATTCATTTTATCCATAACACATGCAATTCCCATATTTTCTCACACACATGTACACGCTGGAACCGAACGAAGTATGTTCTGCATGTGCACATTAGAAATATTTTGAACCTAATAGTTTCCAATAATCTTTTGTCACCATCATCGAATTAGGGGTTTGATTGTTGTCATTCAAGTAATGTTCTAATGAAAATCTTAATGAGTAGATTTGTACACAAGTTATTTAAGTAATGTGACTCTACTGAAAAACTTAATGCAAAGATTTATATGTATCTTGATCAGTATATTTGTTGAAGAGATGTGTTCTTTGACGGCGCAGGAATGGAGCTGATGTGCGCGGTTACTTTTTATGGACATTGATGGATGATTTTGAATGGGTGAATGGATATAGTGTTAGATTTGGAATTTATCGCGTTGATCCTCAAACATTGAATAGAACTCCAAAGCTCTCTGCTAGTTGGTTTAGAAATTTCTTGAGCAATTGTAGCCTGAATTATGTTGAATCGTGTAATTCTATTTCATTGATGAATACAGACGAATCAAGGGCTCAATCTGAATGATGGTAATAAATGGTAAAAAATGATTGTTGTTGGAACTACCATTCTTCTATCTCCATTATTTATGAAAAGATATGTATGAATCTTCATTGTCTTTGCCACTGATATGAACTTGTATATTTTTTTGTCGAATAACATTAAGGGAAATTTGGCCATTTGGCCTAACTAAACAATGTATTTGGTGAAATGGTCTTTCACCAATAATAAAAACAAATATAAAATATAAAATATTTTAGTTGGCAAAATGACAAAATCCTCCTTCAATTGTTAACCTAATGTATTTGGTGAAATGGTCTTTGATCAATAATGGAAATAAATAAAAAATGTAAAATATTTTAGTTGGCAAAATGACAAAATTCTCTTTCAATTGTTAACTTAATGTCTTTCAATTTTTCTCATTTCATCCCGTCATTTCTCTTCCAAATTTACCTTTCTAATTTTTTATTTTTATTTTTTGAAAATAACATCTTCTTCACCCTTTCATCTTCTTCAATTTTAAGTTCTCAAAATTACAATAACTTATTTTCTTCTCTTTAATCATCATTCTTGTTATCTTAAAATTATGTTTTTTATTATATTCTTCACTTATTTTGGATATCTTTGAACAAAAGTTTGGTTAGTATTTTTATTATCAAATATAGTATCAAATAATATTTAGTTGGTATTGCTTTTGTAGTTAATATGGTTTTTGTGTTATTTGCAACCATTTTATGTAATAACACTCTAACTGTCATCTGAAATATAGAACACCACTCTAGCCGTTATTTGTAAAGTAAAACGACACTACAGTTGTTATCTGCTATAGTTTGATTTTTTTCAATGAAATGATTCTAATAATGGATTCACTAATGTATAAACCACAAAAAGATTCATTAGTCACAAAGAACGATTGAAATGATATAACTTTTATATTATTGAGATGGTGAAAGTACAAGTCATCACAATTATATATATTGATTAAGTTAATGAACATATCTATCAACTTTTGTACGTGTCATATACATATTACAATATAAATAAGTTCAACTTATTTTTTTTATGGAATGAATTGATCGTGACTACTTATACTCGTATTTATACACGTAACAGCACAAGTGTCGTTTTCATGTCCAGTAATGACACTTTTGTCATTTTAATGAATTGACCGTGATTACTTATACTCGTATTTATACACGTAACAGCACAAGTGTCGTTTTCATGTCCAGTAATGACACTTTTGTCATTTTGAAATTCACCTATGTCCAACTTTTTCAACAAAACAACATTTAATAATAGACTCACTAACACATGTAACATAGAAAGTTTGACAATGCCATAAATAATGTAAATGAGTTTCACTATTGGTATCGATGCATAGATAAGACGTAGCTGCTTTTACTCGTGTTTACAAATATATCCTTTGTTTGAGCCTCATTTTTATTAAAATACATTCTTGAACAGTAATTTGATCTCATTTTAACCATACGTTCTTGAATAAAATAATATTACATGCAAACTCAATTTTTTTTAAAATTTTTTAACCACACATTCTCCATCATAACACTATTAGAAAATTCATTTTTTGAAAAAAAAAAAAAAAAAAAGGCTCAAGGATGCCCATAGTATTTTATAATTTTAGATGTTTGGTATGTATTAAATTATTCGATGGTTTTATAATGATTAAGTATTTAAAATAATAATAATAAAAATAAGTAATGCATTTTTTTTTGCGCTTAGGCTCGTAAAGCTTTACGTTTGGCCTCCACACTTAGCCACACTTTACATTTGGCATCAAATCACTATTAAAAAATTCTTTTTTTTTTTAAAAAAAAAAGAGGACGCTCAAACAACCCCATAATGACACAATGGTCGTTTTCATATTAATATCGACACTAGTGCTGTTTTGTTGATTTTTCATACATTTTTTTAATGTCTTTTAAGTTAAATAAAAATGGCACAACTTAGGATGTCTAATTTTAAAGGTCGTTGCGTTAGAAACAAATGAAAATAAAGGAGAAATCAATAGAATAGTTCAAGTGCCGTTATTGATTATAAAACGACACTTGTATCGTTTTGTCTATGAACACGAGTTTAAGCAACGACGACTCTTCCGTGCCTTGAGAAATAATAAGTTGAACTCATTTAAGTTGTAAGGTTGACATGCCATTTAAAAAAAATTGAAAAATATGCTCATTATTTATATTTTGTTGAAAATAATAGAATCACTTATACTTTCATCAACTTTATATCAAATAATCGATGTCATTTCAACTGTTTTTTGTCATGTGATCTACTTTTCTTACGTACTTAAGGATCCGATGCTTGAGGATGAAAGATCATCGAGAACGGCACTTGTATTGTTATCGAGAAAAAAAGTTCTAAGAAAACAGCATTAAGAACGGCACTTGTGCCGTTACTGAGTTGAAAACATCACTTGTATCGTTCTATTTATAAACACGAGTATAAGCAGCTACAACCCATTCATGTCTCGAAAATCAATAAGTTAAATTCATTTCAATTGCAAGATGAACATGCTATTTACAAAAATTGAGATATGTGCTCATTAATTATATTTATAATATATCAATATATTGACTTGTGATTTTACTAATTCGATATTATATAATTTATATCAATTCAATTGTTCTTTATCACGTCATCAACCTTTTTGACTTTCTAAAGTTAGAGGATTCAATGTTTAAGGTCGTTGAGTTGAAAAAAAAATAAAATATTTGAAAAATCAACAGAATGACACAAGAGCTGTTAAATGACGCTTGTGTCATTCTGTCCATAAACACGAATACACATAGCTATGACCCATTCTTGCTCCAAGAACCAATAAGTTGTACTCATTTTAGTTGCATAATGGATATGTTTCTAAAAGTTGAGACGTGCACATTTCAATTGCACAAGTGACGTTTTGATGATATACAAACTTGTTTATGAGAACAACACAAGAAAAGTTAGGGGATCCAATATATGTGGTCGTTGCGGTGAAAACGAAGCAAAGTATTGGAGAGATCAACATAACAACATAAGTGTCATTAAATGGCTGTTCTCTCTATAAACAAGAGTTTAAGCAAACACGACTCGTCTGAATCTCGATAATCGATAAGCTGAATTCATTTATATGGTAAGATGGACATACCATTTATAAAATTTGAAAGATATGCTCATTAATTTTATTTATTAACAAATGTAGATTATGACTTGTGATGTCACCGATATTAAAAAAATCTAAGAGAACGGTACAATTGGCTTTATAATGATACAAAAAATTGTTCTTGAGAACGTCACAAGTGCCATTAAAGGTCATGTATGCTGTTTTGTCGATAACACGACCCGTTCGAGCCCCAATATTCAATATGTTCAACTCATTTATGCTGCAGGATGAACGTGCCACTTATAAAATTTGAGAGACGCTTATTAATTATATTTTCTAACAAATGTAGATAATGACTTTTGATGTTATCTACTCAATGTCATATAATCTATGTCAATTCTACCAATATTTGTCACATAACTAATATTTCTGATTTTCTTAAGTTAGAGGGTCCAATATTTGAGGTCATTGCGGTGAAAAAGAAGTAAAATATTGGAGAAATCAATTGAATGGCACAAGTGTCGTTAAATATTACGTGTGACGTTTTATCGATAAACATAAGTATGAGTAGTCATGACCCGTTCGAGCACCGATATTCGATAAGTTGAACTCATTTATGTTGTAAGATGGATGTACTGTTTACAAAATTTGATAAATATGCTCATTAATTATATATTCTAACAAATGTAGACAATGACTTGTGATTTTACCAACTTGACACAATATAATTTATGTCAATTCTACTACTACTTGTCACGTAATCAACATTTCTAACTTTCTTAAGAGGGGGGGTCCAATGTTCGAGGTCACTACGGTGGAAAATAAGCAAAATATTGAATAAATCAACAGAACGACACAAGTACCGTTAAATGTCACATGTGTCGTTCTGTCGATAAACACGAGTATGAGCAGCCACGATTCTTTCGAGCCCCGATATTTGATAATTTGAACTTATTTATGTTGCAAGATGGATGTGCCGTTTACAAAATTTAGGAAATATGCTTGTTAATTATATTTTCTAATGAACGTAGACAATAACTTGTGATTTTACCAACTTGACACTATATAATTTATGTCAATTCTACAGCTATTTCTCACATAATCAATATTTCTGAACTTATATTCTACAGTTAGGAGATCCATGCTCGAGGTCATTACGGTAGAAAAGAAGTAAAATGTTGGAGAAATCAACAACGACACAAATGCCGTTAAACGTCACGTGTGCCGTTCTATTTATAAACATGAGTATGAGCAGTTAAGACTCGTCCAAGCCTCGATATTCGATAAGTTGAATCATTTACGTTGCAAGATAGACGGAGCACAGTGCCATTACTATTATGAAATTAGTATAAGTGTCGTTACGTATGTAAACACGATATGAATAATTGATGCCGTGCATATTTTGAAATTAATTGTTATTAAATAAATAATATTTAATTTTTGAATATCGTTTCTATCATAGAAGATAACTGTTGTAGTGTCGTTCTACACCACAAATAACAGCTGGAGTGTCGTTATCGTCCAATAGTTGCGGACAATACAAAATACACCAAATGTGAAAGTAAAATCAACTAAAACATCATTTTATATTATATTCAACAATAAAAGTACTAATGTATATGAGATTTCTAAAAATACATTTCGTTTTTCTTCAAATATAGCAGAAATTTCATGGTAGATAATATGAAAACTAAAATTCTTGTTCAAATACTCAAAATATTGGAGAAGGTAGGTGAAGAATATAATGAAAAACATGATTTTAGGGTAGCAAGCACAGAGAGATCACGTCGATGCATTTTGGAGATGAATTGGAGAATTTGATTGGATTGAAAGTGGTGTTTGAGTCTTTTCCATGGTGAGGATGTTTTGGACATTTGATATTATTTGTTTATTGTATTTTGTAATTGAGGGCTATTTGACCAACAAAGATTGGAACAAGGTTATTTAATCAAATATATTGTTTGACTAGACTATTTAACAAAATCCCCCTAACATTAACAATATAGACGAACCTGTCACCTTCAAAAATTTAAAAATTTGAAGAAAAAATTGTAATGTTTGTTGGAATCTTGTTGTTCGGCTGTGCTTAAAAATAAATTTTAAGCTGACATTGTACAAGGCATCCAAAAGCGGCCCTAAGGGTGTACGAGTTGAGCGACCGCACAGGGTCTCATAATTGTAGGGGCACCAAATTTATTTATTTATTTTTTGTTATAGTTGTATATTTATTTATAAAATATATATTAATTTTAGAATATAAAATTTTTATTATTATGCATAAGATATTAAAATTACGAATAATGTGACTAACTAATTATAATTTCCTTGAATATACTATTCTTAAAATAGTATTCTTACCTTAAATAATGTGAGGGAAAAGGGAAAAGTTGAAAAGAGATTAGTCCAACCACATAACTAAGAGAAGAAAGGAAAATTGAGCAACCACCTTTTCCAATCGTCTTTTTGGAGAAAAAAATTGAAGAAATCAACTGTATTTTCCAATTGTCTCAAAGATAATTGAGGTAGAGAAAAGAGAAACCAACCATCTTTTTGGAGAAATAGTCTTTTTTCTCCAATCATCTTTGATCTGGCTCCAAAAAATTCACTATTTTCCATAAGTGACGATTGACAATTCATATTTTTCATTAAGCTCTCATTGAAAATCTGAATTACCTATTGTCTTTTCTTTATTATCTTTTCGCCAATTTCGTTTCGAAATTTCACTAATTTGAAATCGTTTTGCAAGAACTTATTAAAATCTGAATTCACTTTGCTAGAACGTGGGGACTGAGGATTGAGGAAGTACGACATAATTTTCCTCCTGAAAAGTTGAACACTTACAAGTAAGTTTTTGTTTCTTTACATATTTTTTCTTCAATAATTTCTTTGAATATTCAAGAAAATATAAATTCCTTTTTAATATATTTTTTAATGTTCTGAAGATGGGTTCACCGTTCATAATTTATAATTATTAATTTAATAAGTGAAATCAATTAACTGTGAAAAGATTTACTATTAAGTGAAATCAATTAACTGTGAAAGTGGGTTCACTATTCATAATTTATAATTACTAATTTAATAAGTGAAAGTTGCTAATGAAATTGATTCATTGATTTTTACTACCCTTTGACTCTCTTTTCGTTTGATTGGTGATATATATGTTTTTGCCTTATTTGAAAATATTGGATTGTTATCCGAATACATGTATTGCTTATAGAATATTATTGACAATTCCTGTTACTTGTGCATGTGCTGAAAGAAGTTTTTCAAAATTGAAATTATTAAAATCTTATTTACAATCAACCATGTTACAAGAATTATTGAATGTATTAGCTTTGATATCTATTGAGCAAGACTTTCTAGTAAATATTAATTACGAAATTTTAATTAGTGAGTTTGCTTCTAAAAATGCAAAAAGAAATATTATTACATGATTTGTTGCATTTCAAGCTCTACATTTTATATATATATTTTTTCAAGGTTTGCTTATACGGAATTGCACGAAGAGGCAAGTGGCTCGGGTGGTTCTTTGTTGATGATATATGAATTTTGATGAAGTTCGAGAGATGCTTTTGAGCTTTATTTATGTTTTTCTTATTCATATATGTTTAAAAAAAATATTTAAATATTATATTTTTGCAATAAAATAATATTATTGATTTTTTTAAATATATGTTTTAGTTATTTGAAGGGACACCATTTTAAAATCTCTCACTAAGCACCCAAAAAATCTTAGGACCGACTCTAAAGGCATCATTTTCATTGCTGGGAAAGACTGCAGGTTGAACATCTTCAAAAGTTGAAAATGACACGAGGATTTTCTACTTTCTGCAACTTCAATAGTCAAAGACCTTATTGAAGAAGAAGGAAATGCATATGATTTTCCAAATGGGATTCTCTTTGGAGCGTCCACTACTTCATATCAAGTTTGTGTTTCTTCTTCAATAATTGTACAAGAAGACATTGAGATACTAAATTCTGTTGGGCAAAAAGGGTATTTCATGGAGTAGAGTTCTTCCTGGTATGCATTTTCTGTCTATTTGAAATGATTCCTTTTATCGTTATTTTTGGATTTTGATTTTGCAGGGGGAAAGTCCGATAAAGCTCACCAAGCAGGAATCTTATTCTATAACCAATAATCTCCTACTCAAAGGTATGATCAGAATAATGATCTTATTCCACGATTTAACAAGTTCAAATAGTTTGTTCCGGTTTATAGGATTCAAGGCTTGATGCAGGAATAGAGCCATTTGTGATAATTTACCACTTCGACTACACTCATATTAGAGGATGGTTGAACATTAGGAGATCAATGACAACGATTGCAAGTTCATTGAAGTGGATCAAAAAGGAAGCACAGGGGATGGCTGGGCAAAGCAAAACCAAGAAAATTGCAATGATTTGCATCGTTAATCATATCTGGATACTAGGAACATGAAGATTTTTGAAGATCTAAAGCCTCATTCCGATTGCATCATGAGGCGGATCAAAACACATATATTCAAAGTCATGTTTTTATTGTATCCTCGTATTTTGATTCATTTTGAGTCTTTAGTATTGAATATTTAGATCTTATTGTTTGTATATCTTTTGATCTTGTAAGCCTGGGTATACTCGGAGTATTTGTATATAAGTTTTGATTAGTACAAATTTACATTTACCAATAAAAAAAAGAAAAAAAAATAACTTGAGGACAGATATGGAGCTGGTTCAAACCTTTAATGCCGTACATATAAGTTACTTTTTTTGCTTTGACTTGCTAAGGTCGACCCTGAATTTATTGGGAATACGGCTTAGTTTTGGGGCTATTTCAAATAAAAGGCATACATGTGGTTTGGTCGTGAAGACTTTTCCATTTTGTTGAGACGTGTTTTAAGAGTTAAGGTGATTTTGTAAAATATTGGGGAACCATCAACTAGCCAAACTTATTTAGAAGTATGGGATTTGAGATAAGAATTTTCCCACCTGCTCGTTGTTCATCGCCATTTGGCAAATGTCCACGTGGCAACCCCTAATTGCAGTACACAACATGTTACATGCCAAAGCTACAAAAATGTTGATCATTTACCTTAGAAGAAATTTAGAATTGCACTAAGAAACTTACACTGATGCAGCATAAATATGGAAGTGCGGTAGGCATTATTTTTGTACGCAATAATGTATAGACCAATTAACGGATGATAAGTCCGACCAGGAAGCTTCAGATAGGACGTTGGCTTTTAATATTGCTTGGTAAGCTTCAAAATCTCTTTTTGTTAAATCCACCTAAAACTCGAGGTCTAGATGGCTATTGTACTATATGTATAAAACTTAATAACTAGTAATTTTATGAAGTTCTTTTTTTTTTTTTTTTTTATGTTACCTTATCTGATGTTTAATCTTGTTTAAAGGACTTTGGATCCAGTTGTATTTGGAGATTACCTCCAAAAATTTGTCTTTATCGTGGAAGTGAATTGCCAATGTTTTCCCAGAGGAAATGGTGCTGTTAAAAGATAGTATCGACTTTATTGAGCCAAACCATTACACTAGCCTTTACATAAAGTTTTGCATAAACTCCAGATGAATTTGCAATTGAGCAATTTGGCCATTTGTGTACACTAATATAGAGCAAGATGGTGTTCCAATAGGAGAACCAGCACGAATGGAACATTTATTTTCCTGTTAAAAAATGTTTACAAATTAATTTGTAGTTTTCTTAACAACATGGTGTTAGTTTTTCTTGCAGACAGAGATGTCTCTATCATTTGTTGTTCCAAGAACCATGTCCTTTGAAGTAGTCTTGATTACTCGTAATACATGACATTGATCTTGCATGTGTCTCTTGAATCAAATATGCACGATATCATTCTCTTTTTTACTTGTTATAACTTGGAACATCTAAAAAATCTACTTATATTTCAGGTTATTCGTTGATCGAGAATACCAACATGATGTTAAGCGAATTGATTATCATAAATTATATCTTATGTTTTTGGCTCGACCTATAAGTGTTGTAAATCTCTTAAACGAGTGATGTTCAACCATTAATGTAACTTTACAAGGAAAATTAGAAGAAGTTGTTACTCTCGTTTCAGTAAAATCGGTTGTTGTATTTTTCTCTGCTCATAGGAACACTAATTCTCATATGAACCACCATGTTTCTCAATCCAAGAAACATACTAATTTCCTCAAAATATGACTTGGAAGAGGTGAAGAAAATCTCCACTAATGTAGTAGCCATATTATCACTGACCAAGGACTTCACGTTCTCCCACCACCCAGCTTCTTTCCAAACAGTCTTCACTCAACGACAGGAGAATAAAGCATGAAAATTCATCTCCCAAAGCCACCGCAGAAACAGCCAAGTACCACATTCAGATCAGATGCAAGTCTTGGTGAAGAACTCTGGATAAACATCTTAATTTTTGGGGAACATGGAATTTCAAGATCACTTTCGACCACTGAGTAAACTAATTTCCACTATCATGCGCATGAGAATTAAGTATGAGGTTGTATCCACAATGGACTGTAATACTTGCCACTGGGATCAGAATGCCAGATGAGATGGTCGTGTTGCTGCCTCATGCTCAATGGAATAGATTGGATTAGTGCACTATCAATAGGTAAGAACAGATCATCAATATTTACTATATTGCAGTCCTTTGAGACAATGAGCATATTACGAAAGGGAGACTAATCATGGGAAGCACTATATGGCCTGGAAAAATAAAAAAATGTCCGTGGTGGCCAAGGATCTAGAAAGGTGTGAATCTGCTCACTATTTCCTACCAGCCATCGGACACCATGAGCAATGAGTTCACACTCCCAAAGAAGACTCTTTTACATAAAATAAGAGTGAAGCTCAGAGAATTTCACCATCAATATCAGCACAAAGCGTTTCGATTTACTCCATGTTTTTTTTCTAGCGCTTCTGTAGTTTTCCACAGAGAAGACAACAACTTCCTTCCTACAAGGCTACACTCGTCAGACTTCTTGAACTCATCAAATAGCTCTTGGGAACGTGTATGAGGTTCTCAAACTCTGTGGACTCTTTGAATGCAGATGTGACTTTCTCTCTCTCCTTTTAACTTAACACAATCTGCTTATTATTGATCTTTACGAGCTCATCCTTCTCTTTGAGAAATTTCCCTTATCTACTCCAGCTCGTTAATTTTTCTCGAGCATTTTGAAGAAAATCTTGCTCGCCCTTATGAGATAGATCCTCAAATGTTCTATCTCGCTCTTCAGAGATCTCAAGCAACGAAGCTCTACTAGCTAGACATTCCTTTCCACACCGTAAAATTCATTAGACTTCCACAAAAGCCATAACAACATCAATATATAATGTACCTTACCCAGTTCGTGGAAGAAGTTAGAAAAAATGACATTCGTCTTTTGGGTGTCCAGAACCTGTTTCTCTTCCAAAAGGCACAGGCCTTGAATTAAAGCCTCAAATATGTATGGACTTTCCAGGGCAGAGTCCATTACATGAACTGACTAATCTAGTATAAACTTTCCAAGGCAAACTGGCCTCTACCTCATGTGGCATCTATTAATTGAAGATTGAGGTGTCAAGCCAAGTAAGATGAGGTACTGAAGTGTATGCCACGTAGATATGTCAATGCTCGGTAGGTGCCAACCTGTATTCAATTTCCTACTGTAACACAGAAATAAATAGAAGCATTCAAGCATATATTCCTTGTGTTTTATTTTTGTTTTCCCCTTAAGATATTAGATGTCTCAACTATGGAAATTGTTATATTTATAATTAGCTAGAATATTCTTTGTACTGTGTTTATATGACTGAAGTCGCCAACATGAATTATGCTGTGAATATACGCAGGCAGTTTGCTCAGTGGAATCGTCTATACAATCATACATGGATTTGAGTGGTTTCACACACTTTTTGATTGATCACCTTTTGATTTTGACATTCTGAAATGTAGAATGCTTGAAGGGGCCAAAGTTTCAATCTCACCCAGACACGAGTTAATGGTATAGATAATAAACCCTACCTAGAATCTTCAATCAAAAGCAGGTAAACAGTTGTACCTTCAACTTTTAATAATCTGTGTTGAATCCTTTCTTTGATAATTCCCACTAGACTTCAAACTGGATCAAGTGCTTTCTACTGTTCAAGAATTTTTCCATCGCCACCATTCTATATAGTTTAGTTCCTCCTCCATGAAAGCTTTTGGGAAAATCACCGTCCTGAGAAGCAAACGGAGGTGAACTTCGCTTCTAGATGGACGACAAAATGCTACTTTAAAGGTCAGAAATTACAAGGCGTTGTCGGCCAAGAGGACAACCTGAGATTCCTCCGGGGCACCGTGAATTGTTGAGAATAGTTGGAGGATATGAATAGTGGGACGATCAATTTTTATTCTGAATAGCTTGAATACTAATTTAAATATCTGATAGTTGGAGGACTTGGAAAATTAATTAAACTAGTTAAAACATTTAAAATGATCCCTAACTATTTCTAACATCTATGTTTATCCTCCAATTATTAGAAAAGTATACATCAATCCTCCGTCTATTGGATATATTTAAATTGATCCTTAAACTAATACATCACGCAAATCAATTCCAAATATTAAGAAAACTAATAGCAATACTTTCGATTGACCTTCAACTAATAGCAATACAATACTTAAATAGATCCTCCAAGTATTAGTAACATCTAAATTGTTTCTCCAACTAAAAGAATCTTCAAAATTTATCCTCCACCTTATTGGAACTTCTAAATTGATCCTCCAACTATTATGAACACAAAAATCGATCCTCCAACTATTACTGACAACTAAAGTGATCCTCCAAATATTATGAACACCTAAATTGATCCTCCAACTTACAAAAAAGTTCTTTATTGATACTCCAACTACTATAAACACAAAAAAGTTCTTTATTGATACTCCAACTACTATAAACATCTAATATAATCCCCAACTAATAGAAACTTCTAAATTCATCCCTCAACTACTGTGAACATAAATTGATCCTCCAACTAATGGAAGAACTTTGTTACACATACACCGAAGTTGACACTTCGATATACACTTTCTTCACAAGAGGGGGGGCTCCACGATTTTTTTATTGTCTTGGGCCCCTTATGTGAGGAGAGTGTTTATCGAAATATCAACCCCGATGTACAAATATCATTTTTCACTAATGGAAACTTCTAAATTCATCATTAAACTAATTGAAACATCCAAATTGATCCTCCAACTAATTGAAACTTTCAAATTGATCTCTCAACTAATTTGAACTTCTAAATTGATCCTCAATCTATTATGAACACCTAAATTGATCCTCCTACTATGAACAGCTAAATTGATCCTACAACAACTTGAAACTTCTAAATTGATCCACCAACTAGTAGAAACATCTAAACTGATCCTCCAACTATTGTGACACAAAATTGATCCTCCAACTATTATTAACACCTAAATTGATCCTCAAACTAATGGAAACTTCTAAATTCATCATTCAACTAATTGAAACTTTCAAATTGATCCTCCAACTAACAAAAACTTCTAAACTGATTCTAAATTCATTCTCCAACTATCATGAACACCTAAACTAATCCTCCAATTATTACAAAAACCTAAATTGATCCTCCATCTACTTATTAACGCCTAAATTGATCCTCCAACTAGTATCGACATCTA